GCTGCTGCTGCTGCTGCTGCTGATGATGATGATGATGATGATGATGATGATGATGATGATGATGATGATGATATTTGCCACCACGTCTACTAACACCTGTGTACAAAAATTCCCTCCATCCCTGAACGTACCGTAACACTGATCACCGAGCTCAAGACGTGTAGAGCATTCTTGAACACAGTAAACGGCAGGCCATCCTCGTCCAGGTTTTGTGGGTAGTACGCATCCATGAGCGCATAGGAACCGTTCGTACAGTCAAAGAAAGCGTTGTTGCAGGGATAGAAATTCGTTCATAATTTATTTATTTAGTAAGCGTTTTACGGCTTTCGCAACTGCATACGATCATATCATGAGCGCGGTAGTTGGTGGGAAATTTTCAATTTTGCCTTGGCGGCGGCCGAAGCCTACTCATATCGATTTTGGACCACCAGGGGATCTCTAAAGTGAGCAACTTGCACACGAGACCTCTGAGATTTTTCACCCTTATCCGAGAAGGCAAGGTGCAGATCTTACCTACCACAAGATTAGGGTTGTGGCTGAAAGACAGCAGGAGAAGGAGCCAAGGAGTAGCAGTAGAAAGGCTACAGAAAGAGTCAGGAGCCCAGAAGGGGGGACAAGGGGGGTGAGGGGCAAGGGGTGGGGGCAGAAAGTAGAGACGAAAACAGACGAAAGAATATTGTTAGAGACAGGAAAGGAGGTGAAAGGAGAACATTTATTTTAGAGCAGACCATTTTTCGTCGCTATCCGGATTCGTGTTTAGAAAGGATATAGCGTGTATCTAGGATGTAATAACACAAGTGTGTAGTAAGGATATAGCGTGTATCTATGATGGTATAACACAAGTGTGTAGTAAGGATATAGTGTGTATCTAGGATGTTATAACACAAGTGTGTAGTAAGGATAAAGTGCGTATCTAGAATGTTATAACACAAGTGTGTAGTAAGGATATAGCGTGTATCTCGGTGAACACCCCGCTAGCAGCTTCATGTTCGAACGTGCCCGTGCCAGCCCCTGTCACGTAGTCGCAGGCGATGTTCCGATCCTGCAGGGCCTGTGTTTGGTTGGGGGTGAACGAGCAAAATCATTAGTGAAAAGCAGATTCTGACTGAAATAGAACAATAGCAGAACGAAACTAACAAAATTATGACTTGTAGAAAAGAATCGTTCATAGAAATAGGTTCTAACAAAAATATCAATCCCAAAAGACCTCAGTCAAACAGTGTGTCTTCCATTTATTAGTTTTATTATAACTGAAATTATTAAAACAAAGAAATTCCCAAACTCTCCCATGTATACAAATCCAACCAGTAACATCAGATTGAGTAACATCTCGCTCTCATCCTGTCTCACTGGGCATATTGATTGTCAACAGAAAATATAATTATCAAGTTGCAACATGGAAAAAAAGTAATGATTAACTCCACAAGAAAATATAGTTCCAGATACACTGTTTGACCCCAATCAATTTTTAAAATATATTTATGTTTTTTAATCTAAAAATAACGAACAAAATCATTGGCGAGTTGTATATATAAAGTCCAATGAAAGTAAATGACTCAAAGCTGCATGAACCCAACCGAAATATCTCATACTCATTCGCCGTAGAATGTATCCTGAAACGATAATATCATTTTCAAGTGATTATATCTCTTAAGTTAAAAAACAAAATGTTCCCTCCTTAACTTACAGCCAGAGTAAGTTAGTCATAATGAAACCAAAAGTTAAAAGGTCAGCATCTTTGAATTGTATTTCCATCCGGAGTTAATACATTTTTGTGACATTTAACGTAAAGAGGAAAAGAGGTACAGAGAACAGAACAGCCCACCTTCAGCGCTATTTTGGTTTTTTCGATCCCAGTAGAGGACGAAGCCTTTCTCTCAGTGGCGTTGAAGATGTGGAGGGAATTTCTGGAGAAAAGATGAAAATTTGTTCTTTTCGTCAAACTGTCCATCTACGGATAGTTTGTCCTATTTATGGTACGTTTATGGTAATCCTACATCTATTGTAACATAAAGTATGCAAATATCGGTATGTATGTATGTATGCGTG